AAAAAAAAAAATCAAAATTCAGTTCCCTCTAGAGTTTACTAGCTCTGGGGTGAATGTCAGCAAAGACTGTAGCGTGGTTGTGGTGCTTTCGTGCACTTTACAATGTCACCCAAAATTAAGTTAAGCTCAGAGCTCTTAATTAGTAATTTATGCACACATTGGGATGTACCAAACATGTGAAAGGAGTAACTGGAAAAGGTAATCTAAACTTCCCTAGGTGCAAATTCCAGCTCAACTTGCATGACTGATGTACAATCAGTATCAGTCTGAAGTGGGCAATGTACAGATGTTTTCCATTAGAATGAAAAACTGAACCCTAATTAGTTTTTGGAGGGAGTTTATGGAATAGAGATGTATGTGAATAGACCTCTTTCAGATAATACGGATATCATGTAGATGACGTGATCTTGGGGGGTGATACTCGCCCTTCAGGTTCTGGGTATCTCCTTCAACCATTTAATATACAGAAGTAGCAAATAAATAGATAGGAGTTTAGGTGTTTATTAAATGATTCCTATCTCTCAGTGGATCTGTGTTTGTAGTTTTATAATCATAAAAAGCAGTTTGTTTTAAAATGTTCCTTATATGAGGAAAAATCTATTGAAAACATATCATTTGAATTAACTGCTTGTTCAGATTTAAAAAATTGTCTGCTTTCTTACTCAGGCAATGGATGAGTCCTGTCTGGTTTCCCTATAAGGACACTCTACCTAAAAGGGACGGAGAGGATCAGGGGACTCATAAACTAAACTTTTCATTTAAGTTAGGAAGTTATTGGATTAGGTGAAATAAACTTAATATTTCACTGCAGTTTTTGTGATGGAAATTCTGAATGGTAAGTTTATGGAACATGATGAAAGCCAGCAGCTAGTTCAATTCAGTAGATGATGAGGTACAATAAAAAATAAAGTTGTGCTTTAATGAGCTCCCCCATAGCTTAAGAAATGTTTGATTTATTCTAAAGGGTACACTTTATACAGTGGAAAATATTGCAAATCAAAAGATACATTCCCTCACTACTTAAAATCCTTCAAATCTAAAAAGCTAATGAAATCAGTTACATGTTATGCTAGGTATAGACTAAACAGTTTCATATGCTTTGATTATTGTTAGTCATTTAATCCATTACAAATGTAGGAGAAGGTTTACATTACAATCAATATTTTACCTTGAAATTGTCCATGAGTGAATGGGCATTTAACCCAGATGTTGTGCTCAGTTGCAAACTAAAAATGTTTTAAAAGAAATTAGCATTTAGTTTGGTTAACCAGCCTGAATTTGCCATTGCAATGAACTGAAGCAAAATGTTGAATGGGCTGAATTTCTATCTTCCTAACAGGCAGAATGACAATGCTGCTTATAGGGTTCACAAAGCCAAAGAAATAATAGAGCAACTGTGGGTAAACCCACTGAACCCATTCAGATAAACTTTTAAACAAATGTCCATAGGATTAAACGTGAAACTCTTCCTGGATATTTTACTGAAGGGTGGGAGGAATAATGGATTTATAACAATAATTATTTATGTCATATTCAAATTTATGATTTGCATCAATTCATTACCATATCTATAGCTTTCTGGCACACATCAGCTGAGTGCATCAATCATGCTAAGCCAAAACTATCCAGAATGATTTGGGTAGTGATAATTTGATACAAGTTACCCATTGCTTTTTGCAAAACCATGATTTATGGCTTAGTGAATTGTGTGAACCAATTGTTAAACCACTGTTTGCAATAATAGGTGATCCAGGCCATATAGTTGGATACCTCTTTCTACAACAATTTTTTATGTATAATTAGCAATCTAGGTCAATGGAAGGGTTTGCATTATAGTCCTGCTTCTTTCTTCCAAGTTGTCTCTGAAAGATGATTACACGCTAACATATAAAGGCACTAAACATCTTTTTACACTTGTCATGTGCATTTGTACAGTTCAAGCAGCATTAGCTATTGAAATTGGCTCCAAAAGGATGGGAAGAAGCTGTGGAGTTCTTTTCCCCCCTGCTATAAGGCTAAGACAAATTCTTCCTCTGAAACTGGCATTTGCTTCAAAAAAACCATCTTACACTGATTTCAATGGAGGGTTGCCCCCATCACCACCATGGACACCCAAATCAAATGCCATGTTCAAAAAAGAGACTGTCCTCAGGATTCCTGGTGGGAGAAAGTTCCCTACCACATCTGCTAAATTACCAGTTTCATACTCCTCCAGAAGAAATAATTGGCAATTTTAAAAAACCTTGAATTTTGAATGCAGTAGACACATTTAATATCCTATTTGGTCCTTTGACAATCTTCCTGTCAATACCTCAAAGAAAGTGTGGTCTGATTTATTGTATTTTGAGATATCCTAGATCCAGGATCAAAATGTTTATATTTGTGCTGTGGAACTCCTTTCAAACTTCCACAAAAATAAGATTTTTCTTTTCTTTTTATAGTACAGTTTATTCAATCTCACTGTGTTTAGAATTGCAGTTTAGGATCCTGGTAAATTAAATTATGCAATTAAATGAATCAGAATATCCATGCTTTTTCTACAACTTCTAAACTGTCAGTACTTTAATAACACTGAACAACAGGGAAGATAGGATGAGGGAAAATAATTATTTTTGGCTTGCACACTACAAAGGTCATAACTGTCAAATCAAATCAAATATTTATTATGGTCAAAGACCAGCATAAAGGTTATAACCTCTCACTTAGATGTGACAATTGGACAAATGTATAAGTTGTTAGGAAATAATATACCTTCATGCAAAGGCCTGGATGTGTATCAACTCGGGAATATTTCACCTGATTGGGAAAAGATTATTAGATTGTTAGCCGACCATGTAAAGACAAACATCAGAACAAGAACATTCAATGAAATTTTAATGATCTATCATGTATATTGACCAAATTGTAGTGAAGGGGGAAATCAATATTTGCTGGCCTTAGTCCATGTCTGTATTTGTCTCCACAACTCCTCCATGCACATTGAAGCTATTCAGTACTTGAACAAGAATGTTAGATTTCTAATGACTATTGGAGGCTATCTGATCTGATCGCTGCTGTAGGATTTGTAAAGGAAATCTCTGAGCTAGGGAAGGAATGGGAGTATCTCAAAACATTATTAACAATGAGCAGAGGGATATGTTAAGGTCAGTCTCACCTAGAAAAAGGATAGTTAGCCCTTCAGACTTGCCTTCTAGAAAAAAGAGGTTCTCAAGACCCCACCTTAATGAATTCACTAATAAATGAGTGCTAGTCTTTGGTCCTTACTCAGTTTTGAAGAATTTATATAATACCCCAGTACTTGACAATAAACCTAGCTACTCATTGTGACTCTTTATTTCTGGTTGTGCTTTGCTGTTAGGAGATAGACAAGACTCTTTTAACTGTGGCATCCTTAACAGATGACCCTTTCAAAGCCTGTTTAAATAAGTCAAAGAAATAAGCACTCCCAAAGTAGACTATGTCACTACTAATTAGTCCCCCTGCCCATTGGGAACCTTCTTCTAATGAGTAGTTGAAATTTGGAACAATGGAGACATTTGTTACATCATTTATGCACCAAGGGTGCGGGGCATGAAAAAGCAGATGCTACATTGACTAGGAATGCATAAGAATTGCAGTATGGAAGCCATTGGATACAAACTTGGCAACGTGTTCCCACTGGAACCCATAATGAAATAAATACTAATCACACATGAAATCCCACTATTTTTGATTTCTCTATAAGACATTTTAAAGTTTACTGGGTGTGGGGGACAGGTGTTTTATTTACTTTGTTAAGTATTCAAGTAGCAAAGGGGGGTTATTCTTCTCCTTTTAAAATAATCTGCATTCACAGCAATAGAGTGGACTTCTCTATATCATCGCTTCCTTGAAAGTCCCACTTCCTTGTCATATTATCCTGTTTCTGGCATTTCAGAAAGTGATATGTAAAGAGGAGGCTTGAGTTGGAGAGTCCAGAACTGCTGCAGAAAAGGTTCTTTCTATTCTTGCAACATGGTAAGGCAAGCCAAAATAAGGTTCCTCTCCTGGCTTGAGGAATACAGTACATGTTTTCATACAGTCACACGGGCATTTATGAAGCATTGATATAAAGTAGGAGTCTTTGTAGAGAGCTCAGAATTCTTGACAGCATGTGGAGCATTTTTGAAAAGCGAAGAAGGAAAGTGCTTTGTTTATTTTATGTTCTTAACAAAGTGTGATCATTCTTCCATTACCATGCAGATTTTTCATTTTAAAAAATCAACAGAATGAAACATAGTGGATTTTCAGCATACCCTATATCTTGACTCACCCTCTCCAAAGTTGATAATATGCATGGTATGTTAATTGTACAAAGAGTGTAATTTACACTCATGAAAAGATTCTCTATTGTTAATTGATGTTTATTTGCAGATATGCTTCTGCATTATCAATTTATGTTTGCATGCATATCACACCAATTCAAAGTCTTTGGTAATGCTTTCATTAGTGCCAGTTTTGTGAAAGGGAAATAGCACTGGCTGTATGTGTGCCTTGATTCAGATGTTGCTCGGTGTGCACATCAAAGAATATAATGCAGTATCTTCACTGTTTACAACAGGATATCTGTGTGTTCCAAATTTTAGAGAAGCAAGAGATGTGTCAAAGGGGATGCACTGTATATTTACAATCTAGAGCAATCCAGGTTGGGTTTTCCTTTTTTTCCCCCTTTTGGTTTGGAGAAGGATGGATTGGAATGTGTATTTTTGGCCTTATAACTGAGTCAGATATCAGAAAGATAGGTTTAACTAGATTTGTCCTCTGTTTTTATTTGCATGGGCCATTGAGTACTCTGTAAGGCTTAATTATAGGAGTCTGACAATCTAAAAATGTTGTCTAGTAAATCTGGCTAAAATGGTCAATTGAACTGAATGAAGTTTCATGCAACTCAGAAACTTTCATGACAGCCAATAGTGTGACAACATTTGGGCAACAAGTTTGCCCCCTATGTAGTGAACATTTTCTTTTTTATTATTGCTTACTTTCTCTGAGGCAATATTGACAGTGTTCTCTAGATTAACACACTGATCATTAGTCTTCATCAGTTGACAAAGGCTGACAGTAACATGAACAGGACAGGCAGCTTCCCAAGCCAGTGTTTGTGTGGCAGGTTGATAAACAATATTATCCCACAGGGTCTTAGTATCTAAGACAAAGACATGAAGAAAACAAAGACAGTATAAAAATAAGTAACATTCAGAATGCTGATCTGAATCATTTTTCCCAACTGCTGCTATACTATATGCCTATTATGTGGGATAATATAGGGTGGAGAAAGTTGTGACTTCATTGGGCTATCATATCCGAGTTTAAAAAAACCTGATGACCTCAAGAGCATATCAAATAATTAAGAGTTTTCCATATCTTTGCTGCCATCCTGTACTCTTCTAGATTTTTGCAGCAAAGATGTGATAGTCCTGATCTGAACCTTGTGAAGCATGAACCTAGTCAATTCTTGCACAGAAAAAAGAACTATGCACTCTACTTGTGACTTGTGGAACTCATCATTAGTACTGTAAAAACATAGGTCAGAGATTTTCTTCTGTGTGGTAGTTTGGGATCATGCAATGGATTTTTCCCCCTTAAATCTCTTGCTTCATGCTGTGAATGCATTCCTGCCCAACAGTCAAGGATCATGGGAGCTGAAATACTAGGATCCCAAGTTGGGAGTGTCCACCACAAAAAATCAATAAGGAAGCACCCAAAATTTGTAATACAGTATAACCCAAGAACTTTGAAGTTGATCATTATCAGAGTTATGCAAACACTTAGCCTATGCTCATGAAGATTAAAAGGGGAAATGGATGTCAAAGGACATGCAAATCTTGCCCCCCTCCACATCTGTTTCCTCACCTGCCCAATTTCCACCCTTCTGTGCTGGTGGAGTAATGTCCAAGCAAGACTTCAACTCATGTTTGGTTGAACATAAATAGAAACCTCCACAAACTCAGGAATGTTGTTTTGTCAGATCTTGTTCAATAGTGGAGGTGGGACTTGCTATTTAATCTTAATGAGAACAAGCTACTCTCTCCCATAGAAATAAACCACTGTGATTCAATTTTAGAGTAAAGAGCAAAAAATTCTGAATTGTGGAGTATAAAGGCAACTCTGCAGTTTCCCTTCACTAGCATTCACATCTTTGACCATTAAGTCTCAACTTAACTGCACAGTATTGACAGAGTCAGAAAACGTGTAAGAATCCTTGAGTTCCATTGCAGCCTGACAGGCCATGTTAATAATTTTAGCAGATTTGCCATGAAAAAAAAAATAGCCTTTTTGTAATAATCACCAAGAATTTGAAACCCATATCAAATAATGTTGCAGAATTAGTTCATTTTGTCATAAAGTATGGTCTTTATAAAGTTATGGAGGGGCTTTGTTTTTGTTTTTTGCTTTTATTTGCATTTCCACAAGACTGGATTAACCCCAACTGATGCCCGACAACGGTGCCCCTTGAAGCTCTTACTCCATGAAATGGGAACAAATGTGGTATCTGATGGCACCTTCAAACCAAACCTTTAAGCTTTAGTCACTCACTATGCCAAAGAAAACCTTTTTAGCAATGCAGATTAAAGTCAAACATGGCAGATAAAGACAATTACAAAAAATCTGACTAAAGCTGAGTGTGGCAGTAAAAGAGTTAAGGGCATGATAGCGAGGAGAAAAAACTCTGGTGCCCCCTAGCCTTGGTGCCCTAAGCACATGCTTGTTTTGTGTAAAGGTTAATGCAGACCTGCATGTACAATTTTGGAAGAAAACTTCATGTAACCCGAGGCATACCAGGGTTTTTTCAGAGTTAATTTCTACTATTACTGTTACACATTTTATTATGCCAGCTGCGAATGTTAGTAAGCCTAACCTGATTTAGCAAACTTTATTATCAGTGGCAAAAAATAGTCATGAAGCCATATTGTTTATTATCATGCTTCACCCTTACATACCACACTTCAACCTGCTGACTTCAAATAGTACATTTTGTTCCCTCTTTATAAGCTTATACAAATCACAGCATAAGAGATAAGAATATCTGCTACGTGCTAAATCAATTTAGACAAGTAGATTCTGAGAGCTCTTCTAGCTAAAAAAAATAAATAAAAATCAGTCCACAATGAAAACATGGTTTGTGAATCATTAGAATACCATTGTTCTGGCTAAATATCAAATGAGCTTTTAATTTATTGTGTCAACTTTATTTGAGTGAAAGTGGAAAGAGGGGATAAATAGGGTTTATAATATTTCATATCTGGACATTCATTCATTTTCAGGAATTTATACACCACTCAGTTCCAAAAACATTCTGAGGAGTTTAAAAATGGTACAGAAATATATTGAAAGAATTTAAAAAGTATCAGCTCACCAATCCAAAAACTTTTTCCTAGATGTTCTGGCTCCTGCAGGGAGGAGAACCACCCTATCATCAGTCCCCAGGTGTTTTCCAGAAGAGCTAAGTCTTGGTAGCTTTCTGAATGCCGACAGGATTAGTGCTGATCCACCTTCAGGGACAGCACTATTCCAAAACAGAGGGGCAGGGCAGCCTCAGAAAAACCACACTTTTATGGTCCCTGATGATGGGAATCCCTCAAAGATGGAATTCAGAAGTCCCTACTAGATCTTATTGGATGGGCAGAAACCACTGGGAAAAGAGGGTCCTGCAAATATCCAGGGCCTGACCCATGCCAGGCTTTAACTATAACAACAAGCATCTTGACCACCAGTGCAACTCTCTCAGTAGTGGTGCTGCTCTGGCAAACCAAGAAATGACCTTAACCATTAACTTAATAAAGATGTTTCAGGTTATATCACTTCACTGGCTTTAATGAGACTCCATAAATTACATTATGCCCTAAATGTTTTCTTAAGTATATGCTTAAGACTGTAGTGTGCACGCAATAGTTAGCATCAGCCTTGTGCATTGTGGCTTTGATTCGTCTCAGCAAAGCGCGTCCCATTATCCCACAGCCTCCACTAGCACTTCTAAGAGTTGGAAGAAGCTTGTAGCTACTGGAAGAGCCAGCTGACGATGCCCCTAGGGAAGAGCCAGGGTCTCCTGTCCTGTGTGGACCATTTCAGCACTTGCTGCTACTTCCTACTTGGCATCTGTGATGGGAGACTTCTTCATAATCCCCAGTGACTCTTTGTCCTTTGAAATAGCTCATTCTCATTGCTTTGCTTTTCTGAAAGCAAAGGTGAACAAGATGAGTACTTCTACTTTTTAATCCTGTGAGCAAAAAGGTTGTTTGAAGTGGGTGTTCCATATCTGGGCTGCATAACTCTGGATGACCATGAGAAGGTGGCAGAGGCAGCATTTTCGTAACTCTTTGCTCCCATTTGGTGGTCATTAAGATTTTCACAGCCCAGAGGTGGTATGGCTAGCTTCGAGGGACAAACAACCTGAACAGAGAGATTAGTCACTCCTTCCTATTTTCCCTTCTTCTGCTCCAATTTAAAATCTCCAATGCTTGTTTTTAATTCACCACATCTATATATACAAACAGAATTTCAGGGAAAATATTCAGAATTCTCTCTAAGATGTACTTTGGTCCTTAGCTATAGATGTTATAAATCATGCACAATCTGCACTATCACAGTTCAAGATGATTTTGTCAGCAGTCTCTTTCAAAGCCATTTCCAGACCAATTGTTTCATTTCTAATCTATTGTATTTCAAGTTAATAAAAATCCTGCAGTTCTGCTCACAGCACAGGAGAAAAGGAGGATAAACCACAGAATGTGATGCTCTACTGAGCTATTTCATATGTATAATTGATGTTACATGGCATCATTAGATATAGATATCATATATACTATACTATGCCTATTCTGGCATTTGACCTGAGTCCACGGCCTTCTCTACAATTCGATCAGAATGATCAGTGAATGTTATGTGCCTGTTTTAGTAATAGTAGCACAAATGCTGAGATTTTTGGAATTATTCCCATTATTAAAAAAATAATAAAGCAAGTCAGGTTTTGTTTGTTTTCTAGTGCTCACTCCAAAATCCTTATGAAGTTGAACAAGCAAATGTAGGTACGCATCTATAGAAAAGAAATCAGATTTATTTATTGGTTTGTTTATTTTTACAATGTGTTTATGCTGCCCACTCAAATGACTCAAGTGCAGATTATTTAGTAAAAAAAAAAAAAGCCAACTATATGTGACATTATTCTTGCCACTATTAGCATATGTTTGTAAAATAGCATAGTCACCACTCAAAAAAAGCAGGAAGCACATTTCACTTGCCATTCTTAAATGGGCACAACTGCATTCTTCGTGCATCTAAAATCGCTGGCCATGCCTGTAATCCAAACATGCATGCATTAGTTCAAATGTCCATCAGTTTTTAATTGATTTTCAGTCAAGTATTGCCCGTATGACACATTCTATATGGCCTTTCTCCTAAGGAATGTTAGGTAGTCATCCAAGTAACATAAATATGTCATAGGCAGGAATAAATCAAAAATAAAATATCAGTTATTCTCTAGAAAATACCTAAATAAAATTAACTTCTCTATTCATAATCAAGCAAACCATGATTTAGGCACTTTTTAAATAATTATTAAATATTGAAAACTGATGTAATACTAATGTCAAACCATTATGAGAGGATTGTTACATATGTGTCATGGGGGAGGGGTGTTTCCATTTAGGATTCGCCCTCTGCCCTAAGTGATGATCCCAGAGCTGTCTGCAGGGTATAGTCAGAAACGTCAAGATTGTGGCTACAATGGCATAATCAAAGTGCTGCCTGGTTTTTATGTAAGTTGACCAAACCCTGTAGACACCCCTGAAAGGGCGTTTGGAAAATTCCTGGAAACATTTACCTCAATACACAGACAAGGCAGCAGTTGGGTGTACTGTAAAGTAACGGATTTCACCAAGTCCTTTCCCTGAATCTGAAATTATAAAACAGCAAGTGGTAGGTCAAACTTTTTGCACAGAGAGGAGAGCTTCAGAAACTTGTATGTGCCTATTCAAATCTCCAGTCATTTTGCTGTTCCACCCAATGGTGCTTCAAGCTGGCTCAGGATGTTTTCTTGAGCACTTTAAGCTTAATATTCCAAAACTTTGCAGTTAGCTATGAATCATTCTAGGATCATGGTAGGATTAAGGCTGTCTTTTGATTTATTCAAAGTAAAATCTCTGCATATATTTAAATTGTGGTGATTACTTGGGAAGGAGGAAAATGCTTCTGCAGTTGTGCCAAAGGCAGTTGTGCCAAAGTTGTGCATTTGTTCCACTTTCTTTACAACAGCTATAGCCACTTAAAGCCCCTTTACACAGCCACAAGAACATCCTCCAAATGCAACTCCAATTTTAGTTACCAGTTACTTTGAAGCAAGAAACATAGGGAAACCACAGTGTAATTCTAAAACAGACTCGGAACAGTTTTGGAACGAAGAACCCAACTTCCCACTCAAAAGAGATGGAGAGAAATCCTAGTCCACTTGTAAGAACCCATTCACTTCACATTTTTGAACCCCAGTTACACCCCTCAGCCTCCCTCCCAAATTAAATGCACTCTGACCTCCAAAGGATTGCCCATCTTTGCTTTCCAACAGTGGTAGTTATATGTATTTGCATATACTTTCTTTAGCATTAGATGAAAAATTAAAAGCAGATAATATAATCCAAAATGAATAAGGGTCAGCCTATGTTTACTGACATAAGAACATGCCAAGAAATCTAGTAAATGACTCAAAGGGCCTATCTGTGGAGTCCTTGGGGTTCTCTGAGCTTGGTTGTTTTCTTGCAAACATTTCGTTACCTGGCTAGGTAATATCTTCAGTGCTAGGGCCTATCTAATCCATCATTATGTTCCAGTATTGACCATAAGAATAACTGTGGGAAATCCATAAGTAGGACACAAAGACATTATTGGGAGAAGGGGGCAGAAATTGTTGGAGGCTCCTAATTGCACATAATTCTGAAAATTAGGAGGAATTTTCAATTGGGAGGAAAAGGGTGAAGTTCTCAGTTGAAGATCTGGTTGAGGAAAGAAGATTTATGTAGGAAACCTTATGAAGTCATTGGGAGGGAAGGAAATAGAGGGCAGAGTGATGGAAACAGAGTGTCCTATTGTCTTTGAGAAGAGTTTCCAATGTAAGGGAAAAGATTAGTGAGATGGCTGCAATTATGTTTTCTTTCTGTGTGTGTTTTGTTGGTTGTTCACTAACATTTTTGCTGCTCAAGATGCCTACTATTCTAAATTCCCCTCTTTACTGATTACAGATTAAGTAGACAAGGTTAACACCTTGAGAAGATCAGGCATTTATTGACACATCTTATTCCAGTCTAGTGTTCCATCCTATTTATATTTCCAGCACCAAGCAACAAACTATCTTGTTTTGTTAACTTTCTTACCTTAATGTTTTTATTGTTTATGCTCAATAGCACAACCATGTATTTAATATTTCTTAACCTTGTTAATGCAACAGCTATTCATTTCTGTATATTTGAAAAGCAAGGTATTAAGGAAGAGGGCACTTTTGATCTATCCAATCTAGTGATTTAGGAAATCACTGGTGGCACCTATTAGAAGAGATCTTTTGCATCAGGGTGGAGGCGGTCTCTCTGACCTCCTGTATGTCCTCAGACAGAATAAGCAGCAGTCTTGGCAATCCAAAGGAAAGGAAGAATGAAAGACAGAATGGTCAAGTTTTTTTGTTCTCTGATATTGACCTTAATCCACAGCTCTCATAACTAATAGCTACAAATGGGCTTACCTATGATGAACTAATCTAAGCTAGTTTTAAAGCTGGCCAAGTTGGCAGCTACCACTGTATATTTTGGTAGCTACAAAATTGTATAGTTTGACTACAGTTCAAATGAAGAAATACTTCCTTTCATTTTTCCTGTATCACCCTGCATTAAGTTCTATTGAGGATCCCATTCTGATATTACAAAAGACAGAAACATTTCCCTCTATAATATCTCAGCATCATGAGTAATGTTATGGGCCTCTTTTCTTGTATTTTATTATTCTTTCTTTTTCTCAGGTAAAGCATCCTATTCCCACAATAAGCTTTAGTCATTAACATAGGTTGCACAGAACTGAACATAGCTGTCTTTTAGGCATTCTTATTCATAATATTGACCAAAGATCTAAGTGATTTCCAATACAGCCACAAAATCCAGATCACACTAGGAATGATGCCTATGCATCCTTGTTCTTCTCTTCCCCATCCCTAATTTATCAAATTTGTGTGTCACCTGACTCCCAACAATTCCTATCCTATATCCTATCCCATATATTTTTTCCACCAAGTTTTATAAAATGGCATTCTGTTATATAAACTCTTTATAGTGCAATGAGTCCAAAACTTATCATTTGCATTTAGAAGTCCTTAGAATTTCCGTTCATCTAACTTCTCACAATTAGATGCCCTCAAATTCTGGAGGCAATGGGAGAAGAAAACAGCAAGAGAAAAAGATGAAAGAAAGAAAGGTGCAGGTGTTAAGAAAAAAGGGAAAATGATAAATTTTAAAAACATATATTTCTGTTCATCCTGGAACCCCCATGGAATTATGTTATCCTTTAAATGCCTTCAGTAAGATAAGAAACTCTATGTTTTGCTAGCTGAACTAATTTCATAAAACATTTCAGCTTCTTTCAAGCACTTACCAAAGTGGTAGGCCCCATATCTTCACATACAAATCTTTGATGGCATAAACGGACGTAATAGTCTGTGTTTTGGACATCTGAAATATTCACTGAAATGGTTTTTCTTGTTCTGTCCACATTATAAACCATTTTGCTCACTGAAATTTACAACAAAGCAAAAATTGTAATTGTACTGATTGATGTTTGCATTTTCTGTAGCCAAGAATTATTGTGTGTCGATACAGGTCAAGATGATTGAAGACTTTAAACTACATTTGCAATATGAGTGACATTTGTGTAGGAAATATGATTTCAGTCATTATTAAAATGTTGGTCTACAATCTTATGCAAATCTATCTGGAAGTATTGAGAAGTAAATATAAATAAAATTGTAACATCAGCTGTAAACTCTTCATCTGACATGAAATGTCTCTGAGACTGTAGGTGAAAAATGGCTTACAGAGCAATCCTATGTATGACCAATCAGAAGAAAGTTCCTCAATGGCTAATATTAAGTAAAGTACTGTAAACCACATACATTTTGTAATAATAACTTTGTGTGTGTGTGTGTGCCTTTGAGTCACTGTTACTCCTGGCAACTGCCTGGACATGTCCCTGCAGTTTTCTTCGCAAGATTTCAGAAGCGATTTGCCATTGCCTCCTTCCTAGGGCTGAGAGACAGTGACTGGCCCAAGGTCACCTAGCTGTCTTTGTGCTTAAGGCAGGTCTAGAACTCACCATCTCCCAGTGCCTTTAACCATTACACCAAAGTGGGTCTTTAATAATTACATACAGATTTTTAATCACATTTATTTTTGACAAGGAAGCTGTAAAACTCTAGATCCCTAATCTCAAGAGATACATATGGGACTGTCTTTTTGTACTACCAGGTGTTCAGCCATTGCTCTCTTCTCCATCTGGTAAAAAAAGAGACACATCCGAGTTGCAAGTCAGCTAAACTAAACTTAGGATGAAAAGTACAACAAAGCTCAAATCAGAAAACCAGGTAGCTGGTCTAGGCACTTCCATGTTCGAGCTGGCCAGATTGCTCCATTGTTCTCCTGTTACTGGCTAGAAGGAAACTACAACCAGATACCAACAGTTTATGTGCATTTGTGAGACACATATAAATATAACAATCTTCAGCTCTTATTTAGTTTTGGCAGTTTACTACATCACTTCTAAATTAGCACAAACTGTAGTTACTCATTTGATTAATGGAATTTGAACAACACCGTTTAGCCGGGAAGTTATCTATATTAGGCAACAGTTGGTCTGTAACTCTTCCCTTTGAATCTTAAAAATAGGGAATATGGGTGCTATGGTAACTAGTTGTGGAAAGGAGAATCTGGTTCTATGACTGCGGGTCTATATGGAAGGTAGAAACTCTGCAAAACAAATTGCTCCTGGCTTTGCAGAGAGGCAATTAGGAGCAGTAGACTGCTGGTGGAGATTTCACCAACTCAAGGAGAATTTCTGCTGGAGAAAGGAGATGGGAAAGCTTGTACTAGAAAATCTCCCTTATTATTTTTAGAGAAATGGGTCAATACACCATTTTTCTCTTGTGCTCCCTGATTTTCTTAGCCAGTTGTGCTACACCTGCGTTCCAGTCCTTATTGTGTCTTACTTGTGGACCTCTTGATTCAACTCCAGATGACCAGCTTCAGAAGAAAAAGAAGAATTTAAGAACCGGTTTTCAGGAATCAGGCTGAATTTGGTAGAAAACACCCATGTCTTCTTGTTAATGAAATATTTAATAGACTACTAAATATGCTACTGATTTAGACCTCCAAGGCTTTAACTTACCAAAACAATCTGGAATATTTTCCCCCACATCATTGTTTCTGCAGTCTGCAAAATATAAAACAGATTTTCAACTTGTTTATTTTCTTAAGACATCTGCTACTTTATATTCTTGAGGACTGATCATGTCAGTGGAAATCCTTTAATAGTAGACAGATTGCAAATATTTAATTGATTCAAATATGATATAAATAGGGGACTTCAGTTGGAGCGACAACCAGGACAGAAAAAAAATTCCCAAATATAATTATATTCCTAGAGTCTTTCTGCTTCTGGGTCTATATGTGTGAGAGAGAAAGAGAGAGACTAGATTCACACATTATGCTAAACCATTATGTGATTCCTCTGGTTTTGGAATAGTGTGTTCTGTGAACCTAATGATGTGGTTTATTTAAGCTATTATAGAAACGTAACTTAGTACGATTGTGAAACTACCTGGGAGGGAGGAAAAGAAGGAAGTAGGGAGAAATAAATTTGCTTAATTTTGTAGGTTCACATGGAATCACATTATTCACTTGTTCTGAGATAGACAGATATAGATATAGGATATAGAGATACATTTTGCTGTTAGGCACATTTTTAAAAAATTGAAAATCTCCATCATCCTTTCCCCAGATGGTTATTTTGTAAATGTATTACATAAATTTGTTACTAAAGGTGAAATTGCCAATTACATCATGCTGTAATCAGATTTTGGAAGTCTGCATATACTCAGAGTCTCTGAATGCAACACAAGTTCATTCAGACTTTGCATGTTTGTGACTTTGAATCTGATATAAATGTGGATGGGGATATGTGTGTGTGTGGGGGGGTCTGATACCTATATCATTAGGCAGGTAGGTAGGTAAGACAGACTGACATCACAATAAGTCTGCTTTTTATTCTAATTTCTTTTTTTTTCCTCCTCTGCTTTCAACTTTTGCTTACTTGTCTTAAAGTAAGCTTGAAGCAATTCTGCAACAAGTCTTTTTGGCTATACTCACCCATAATGCTATGCTATGATGTGGTTTGCTTATTGGTGGCTTATGGTATCTAAACCCAGCTAATGAAAAAGGCCATGATTTGTTTTCAGGCAAGAAATCATAATTTGAAAACATGGTTTATTGATGACATACTGAACCTAGCTTTTTCATACTAATCTGACTTGGTGTTACATCTGAACTCAGCTTTTTGGTTTGATTCAGCTACTTTCCATGCACTGCTGTAGCTGCCCATTAGGAAATAGACAGGAAGCAAGAGTGGTTGCAAAAGAAATCTGCTTCTAACAATCACTTGCTCCGATGTAACCTTTTCTGAGCTGGTATTTCGTCTTTGTTCTTCTTGGTAAGTAGCTGTTCTACATCACTGCCCTCTCTCTTACGACTGAGCAACAAGTCAAAAAGCAAATGGATGAAATTCTCAGAAGCCATGCTACAGAACTGCGTGACTAAACCACCAGCTCAGGTTCGTATACATTTAAGTTTTATGGACTTGCAGAAGGTATGCTAAATGTCCATCTGTTTCTGTGATTTTGATTTTATAGCTACATAGGGTGTGGAAGGGACCTCCGAAATCTTCTACTGCCATTCCCTACCAAGGGCAGGAATCCTCAGACTGTCCCAGACAAATGGCTGTCCAACTTTTGCTTGAAAACCTCCAGTGATTATGTACACACAGCTGGCAAGAGGCCAGGCTGTTCTACAACTCAATAACTTTCACAGTCAGCAAATTCTTCCTTATTTTGAGTTTGGATCTCTTTCTATAAAACTTCCACCAATTAGTTCTTGTCCTACCCTTGAGAACTACAGAGAATAACTCCACACAGTCCTTCAAGTATTTCAAGATGTTATCATGTCTCCCTTCTTTGGGCTAACCATTCTTCATAGCATTTAGCCTCCAAGCTCCTCACTATCTTTCCTGTGCTTTTCTGCACTCTTTCCAGTTCCTCAGCATCCTTCTTGTGTTGTGGTGACCAAAAGTGGACACAATATTCCAGGTGCAACCTGACCAATGTAACATAGAGTGAAATTATCACTTCCCAGGAATCTGACATTATACTTCTGTTGACACAGCCCAAGAGTGCATTGGCTCTTTTGCGGCACAGTGCTGGCTCATGCTAATTTGTGGTCTACTTGGATGCCCAGATCCTTTCAGGAACATTTATCCTGTACCTGTCCATCAGGTTTTTCCTACCTAAGTGCAGAACTTTACAATTCTCACAATTAAACCACATTTTGTTGGATAGATGTGCAAGTCTATGAAGATTCTTTTGAATCTTGAGCTGTCTTTTGAGGAGTTACCCAGTTTTAGTGTCATCTGCAGATTTGCTGAGCATCCTATCTCCTTGTTTGTCACTAATAAAAATGTTGAAGAGCCCTGGACCTTGGACAGAATCCTGAATTACCCCACTGCATCTCTCTCTCTCTATGTACACATAGATCCATTAAGGACTATGCATTGGGTACAGTTGTTCAACCAACTGCAAATCTATTGGTTCCATTTTATCAAGGAGGCGGCTATTGTCAATTTTATCAAATGCTGTACTGTAGTCTAGGTACATTACATTCCAGCAACCCCTTGGTTTTCTAATCTAATCACTTTGTGCCAGTCAAATTTATTGGGGTTTTTTTTTTTTTTTTGGACAATCTATTTCTAATACACCAATACTTCTAGCAATCACTTTGTTCCTTTCTAAGGGCTTGCAAATCCATTATTTGATTTTTCTGTGCCAGCACTGCTGGGTGCCAGCCAACAAGATAGCAAGCTGGATGCCTGCCACAATCCAGCAATATGCAAGCTCAGGCAGAACTTTTAGAAGAGTCCTTTTTACCAATATGTTAAGATGGCAACCATAAACATAGTCACAGGCTTGGCACAAGTCAAGACCAGGAATCCAATGAACAAGTGACAAATCCAAGGGACAAGACAAGAAACACAGCGAAGTGGAATCCAGCGTGCTAAGCATGGCATGGCAAGGTAAACATGACAGAGCTGAGACTTGAAAAGTTGTTCTCAGCATCTGCTCCCAGGGAGTGAGGCCAATAAATCAGCCATGCTTAGCTTCTTCTCAATACATAGCTGGGGCAGTTTACTCTTATGTTGGCTTGCTTCTTTGCAAAACTCTCAGATCTGCAGAGTTCTACTCTCTGCTGTGGAATCTATCACACACCACTGTTTAGGAATGGGTGGCTGAACCTGAGATCCTGAGAGGCTGTCATTGGGTGCAGGCAAAGAGTTCTGGGGGCTTAATGGATCTGCTTCAACCAAAATGAGGTCATTGGCTTCACCACTACTAGCATCACCTATGCCAAGACTGTCGTCTGTAGATGCACCTGATTCTACCTCCTCCCCATCCTCCTCACCAGAGGATATATCCAGCAGGGCCATAACATGGATAATCTTTTCTAGGATTTTCCTCAGCGTTGATGTCAAGCTGATTGGTCTATAGTTTCCTGGCTCTACTTTTCCCCCTTTTTAAAAGATTGTTAGCTCTTCAATCTCCAGGCACTTCTCCTGTACTCCAGAAGTTCTCAAAGATTACAGAGAGTGGTTCTGTGATCAGATCCGCCAGCTCCTTTAACACCCTGGGATGAAATCTATCCAGCCCCAGCATCTTGAATTCATTCGCAGCAACTAGGTGCTTTGTCATTACTTCCTTGCCTATTTTGACCTGCATTTCTCTTTTGTACCCCATAGTGCCACTTCTGACAGGTTCAATCACTTTTTCCTTTTGCAAAAAAACAGATATAAAATAGAATTAAGTAATTCAGACCTCTCCCTATTGTTTGTCACCATATTGGCATCTTCTCTGATGAGCAGACCATCCACTTCCTTGACTTTGCTCCTGTTCTACCCTATTACAGGTTCTTGTGTATGCTCTTCCACATACACATACCCAAATAACCTCTTTTTTCCTTACTTTTGGCATTCATTACAAGCCTCAGTTCATTCTGAATCTTATCCTACCTGACTCCATCCTTAACTATTTGAGCTATTTCCTGATACTCTGCTTTTGTTACGTGCCCCTCTTCCCTGTTTTTAAACTTGTCCTTTTTGTTTCTCAGTTTATCAGAGAGCTCTTTATGTAACCACATCAGTCTCATCATCATTTTTCTTTCTCTTTGATATTGTTTGGGTCTTAATTATATCATTTTTCTTAATTTTCTATCCTCCTGGACTGTTTTTCCCTTCAGGATTTCCATTCAGGGAATCCTTCCTACTTTTTCCCTGAGCTTATTGAAGTCAGCTCTCTTGAAATCTAGAATACTAATCCAGCTACCTTAAGTTCTCTCTCTCTTTGCAATATGGTGAATTCTAGAATCACATGGTCGCTGTCTCCCAAAGTTCCTACAACTTCCACTTTCTCTGCCATTTCTTCCCTGTTAGTAAGTATTAAGTCCAGTATAGCTTATCCTCTAATTTCCATCTCCAATGATAAAGTTGTCTGCAAGACACACCAAGAACATGTTGGATCTGCCACTTATTCAGAGTCTGATTTCCAGTTGACATTATGGTAGTTGAAATCCCCTATTAACACAGTGGTGTGTTTCTTGGATATCTTGGCCATCTGATTTGCAAATATTTCCTCCATATCTTCTGCTTGGTTGGGCAGTGTATACTACAGGGGAGCCTGTAGTACACTCACAACAGTGCTGTTATTGTCTTTTTCTCTTCACCCAGATGCTTTCACAAAGGTTTTCACCCTTGGTGTCACATATTTCCATGCAAGTATAGTCATTTTTCCTGTATAATGCACCCCCTCCCCTTTTGTCAGGTCTGTTGCTTTGAACAAATTATACCCTTCTAGTACTATATTCCAAGTTCCATCCCACCAAGTTCCAGTAATACCAATGTCATATTTGCTTCTACACACTAGGACTTCAAGTTCTTCCTGTTTGTTCCCCGTGCTCCGTGCACTGATATACAAGCATCCAAGCCTTTTAATACTGCCATTCTTAGGTTTGGTTGCTGCATCTCTTGGTGTATTCCTGAGCACCTTTTCCTTCTTACTACATCCTCCTTTATTTATAAGGTTTACTGTCTTTGGGCTTTGGTTCTAGATACTGGTCTCCCTCCCCCTTCAGATTCAGTTTATAGCCTGCCAGATGATCTGAGAAAGATGTCTTCTAAACTCATTCTTCTCAGTCTTTGTAAGGTGCATCCCATCTCTCACCAAAAGTCCTTCCTGAACATAGTGTACCCTATGGTCCAGGAATTCAATGTTTTCTCAATGACACCATTCCTTAAGCCAAGAGTTCACCCCCAGAATCTTTTCTTCCTTCCTTGGGTTATGACATACAGTTGGAAATATGGTTGAAAACACCATCAGAGCTCCAACCTTTTTTTGTCCTCCTCCTCTTCCCTTGTTGATATCATGTCTGGACAGTAAAATTGCTGAATCCATTCTTCTCAGCAATGAGTCACCCATCACCACCACATGCCTTTTCCTTTTTGGGACAACCACTGGATTTGTCACCTCTGTGGAAACCCAAGCTTCCCTCCTTCCCATCACTAGAACACTGGACAAAAACCTTCTCCAGAAGTCTGGGAGTCATCCTCCAGGAAGAGGTTTACAGTATTCTTTCCCTGCTTATGATTTCCACAGATCTTTCTGAGAAATTGCTAAATCCTTCCTGGGGGCAATTAAATTATTGTTCATTGTATAAAAGTCAGTGTGTGGGTAGGTGGTAGGAGCTGTTACTGTTGCAAAGAATGGGGGCAAAATGTGGATTGGAGGAGGTGAAAGATCAGAAGGACCATGATAGGTGGAGGACAAAGACAAGTATATCTTTCTTTTCTCCACAACCCATCAGATGTGTGCTTCCTAACTATAGGAACAGACCCCAACAGGGCAAACTGCATTTAAAGTTCTTAGTGAGACAAAGTCTCCTTTCCTCCATTACTAGCTTGGCTTCATCTCACTGAGATGCTCTAGACTGCAGAATGAGAAACTCCAGATGTGCAAGTTGCCACATCCAGCCATTCCAGAGGCTGGGAGATATGCGGTGTGTTAGCAGAAGCCTCTTTTGGCAGTTGGAACTGCTGGAGGACGCCTCAACTCCCAGGTGAAGCAAAGGAAAGCAGCCCTTTGATGTTAGAAGCTGGTGGTAAGGGTGGAGGGGCATGTTGTTTTGTGAGATAGCTCTTGGGACTTTGCACAAACCTTCACAGAAGCAAAGCGACCTGTCAAAGCTTTGCATAGCCTTTAACGGCTATTTCAAAAAGCAGTATTGTATATCCAAATAAGCTAAACAAAAAACTCTAGTGAAAATAGCTGGCAATTTGTTTTTATTTTCACCAAATGCACGTTATATAGTCATGGGAATAAATTTTTGAGCTACCAAGTTTTTAAGGTCACGAGTAATAATACTACTACTTAAGCACAAGATAATTGCTCTGCTACTAAGATGGACACCCTAAAGTTTAGAAGTAGATAATCTGCTTGATTAAAGGTTCATTTTCTTCTTATTCTATTGACATGAAGCCCTAACTGAACATGGAGGTAACTGGATTTTTGCTGGTAAACTACAAGTTGTTCTTCAGATGCCCAGGGATTTCTGGTACAACCATTAGTACAGCAACAACTTTTAGATTACAAAATACTCTTGTCACAACTAAATAACAACCATCTAACTCAATATCCTGATCCTAAGATAAGGTCTAAAGAACTGTGACTTTTGCTTTTTAGCAAGTATGTTCAGGACCATTTAGTGTTACAGCTCTGATTTGTGAAAAATACTAATTTTTGTGTCAGCATCATCTTCATTTTAGTATTAGCATGCATGCATGTACACACACAAGATCAACATTTTTTACTGTTTCCTACCTTCAACATAATATTCTTGAGTTTGTTTAACTCCACAGTAATTTGGAAGTGTTGTCATGGTTACATAGAGATGTTGTCCCACGCTGACTTCAAAGCAATTGAACTGCACTTTCACCTGTTTGGCATGAAAGGAATTTTCAGTTTATACACAACTTCACAAAATGAGAACACAAGGAAACAGGCATTCCACTAAAATTATTTTTTTCAAGTTTATGGAAGTTATGTGTAGTTTTTATTCTATTTTTCTCACCCTGAATAATTCTGGCAGATCTAGGGGAATAATTTCCCAGATTGCACTTAATTATGTTCTCAGATTCCAAACACCGTCCCGTTTCAAGCAACACATGGATAAAATGCCAACTTTACAGAACTCAGCAGAGTTTTGACAGCTGGAACTATCCAGCAACCTGCTTGAAATTGTGGAAGTTCTGACATACTGCTAGGACTTGCCCATCCACTGAAGATCCAGGGAGCAGCTCCAGTCCCTCCATTGAAGAAAATGTGACTGGATACATGAGCAACAACCCGGATTGCATCTTATATTAAACTCAGAGATTTGGATTCTGATAAAATGGCACTATGTCTACTATACAAATGTACTGATGTTAAAATATTAACACGTGAAGGTATATCCTTACAACTTTTGTCACTTAAGCTGGGACCCCCATCTGTGAACCCAGGAACAAGCCATAAAGAATAGAGGAGGGTTTACTTCAAAGTAAAACATGTAGAAGTTTATGCTGCATTCCAACATTGGCTCTGATTTGGCTTTCTTTGCAGGAAATTGCCCATATATAATTGCTGTTGGCCTTGGATCTGGGTTTATATTTCTTGTTCGCCCCTGCGTTAAATGATGTATCCAATCAATTCAACTAAGCCCAGACAAGCATGCGGATATAAATGTATATACTAAAAGCATCTACTTTGTTTAATTGAGGAAATTTTCAAACCTCTAACCATAAATCAATATGAGGTTCAAAGTATTTTGAGGAGTTGCAAGCATTTCTGGAAAATCCCTAGATGTCCTTTCTATAGTAATATTTCCTAACCACAAAAATATATTCGTTGTTTTTTTTTTAAAAGAGAGAGAGAAGAGGTCTGTAAAAGTATATTGCCAAATCAAGATTTCAGGAATTGGCAGATTGGTTGGAACTTCTGACCTTTCGAAACAAGAGAGGGACACTCAATATATTCTATGAAAGTGCAGAGTGGGTAGTGTGGGATATAATTAAGTTTCTTAGGAACAGTGGTTTTATTCATCTTTTTAGGGATATTCTTTTAAATAAATCCATCTGGGAGCAATGACATGCAACATGCATAGCCCACACATAGTCATTATGGTAAATTTCATACCACAATGCAAACATGAATCTAATATCCTCTGAGACAGACATTAATCAGTCAGTGAATGTGGGAACAATTATGAGCAATTCTTGCTCCTTTTGTACTTGTGCTAGGGATCCCATTTTAAATAATTTAAATACTTTCAGTCTTCCTTTCGCCAGGCAACCATTTGGCTAATATAATACTGTGGAAAATAAACTAAAATGCAAGAACTGCCTAGCATGGATAGATATCTTCTAATCCAAAAATAACTTCCAGAGCCAACACAGGAGATGGGGAGCCATGATGATGGCAAAATAACGTTACACCTGTCATGCTGTCATTGCATAATGATATGAACTGTGTCACTGGCATAATGATGTCACAGTACAGTTGACTTTTTTTCCTTCTCGACTCCTCCCATAGGCCCCATGAGGGCCAATCTTCACAGTCTTCATTTTCCAGTTCCCCTCAGCACAATCCATTCCTCCTTCCAGTCTACAGCATTAGTGGCAGTGGGGCATGTACAGGGATGAACCAGCAAGTGAAGCATTTCACTATCTCCTTCCCTGCAAAGCAACTTCTTTAGCTTTATCCCTGGCGAACTAAGCAATGCTAATGATGTCTTGTCCCAGTGCCTGGAGACTGTGGGGGTCTGGATGGGGGACAACAGGCTTCAACTGAACCCTGGCAAGATTGAGTGGCTCTGGGTTTTGGGGACTTATGGAACTGGGTCTTTACCATCTTTGGTGCTGGATGGGGTGGCACTACCCCAAACAGACCCAGTGCACAATCTGAGGATCCTTCTAGACTCATGGCTCCTGCTCAAGGAGCAGGTGATGGTCATGACTAGGAGGACCTTTGCACATCTTTGTGTTGTGCACCAATTGCACCCTTTCTTGAATCGCAAAGGTCTACTCACAGTCACTCATGCTCTGGTCACCTCCAGAGTGGATTACTGTGATGCACTATACATAGGGCTGCCCTTGAAGAGTATCCAGAAGCTTCAACTGGTGCAGAATGCAGCTGTGTGGACAGTTATGTGTGCCCCAGGATGATACCTGTTACATCTCTGTTCCATGAGCTGCACTGGCTGCCTGTTTGCTTCCAGGTGCAATTCAAGGTGCTGGTTTTGACCTTTAAAGTCCTACATGGCATGGGGCCAGGCTATTTGAGGGACCACTTTTTCCCAGTCATATCAATCCATCCCATCAGGTCCAGCAGGACGGGTATGTTGCAGGTCCCGTCTGCTAAAGAGTTCCATCTGATGGTACCCAGATGACGTGCCTTTTCTGCGGTGGGTCTGCCCTCTGGCACATCATCTCCCTTGAGGTGAGGTTAGCCTCATCCCTGTTAGCCTTTCAGAAGGCATTGAAAACATGGCTTTTGCAGCAGCCTAGGGGATCCCATGGGGAATCTGTATGATGATTACATTGTGTTTAGATGGATGTACTTCTCCTGCAATCTTGCTTTTATTTATATTTTTAATTCTTTAAATAGCTATGACATTATTTTAAGGGTTATGTGTATGCTGCCCAGAGTCACATTCAGTGAGATGGGCTGCCATATAAATTTATTAGATAAATAAATAAAACTTGGTTTGTCTGCAGTCTCAGTGATGGTTGGCAGATATGAATCCATGAATCTTCCCATCTGCAATGGTCTGTGGGAATGACTTTGGGAGACAGGAGGAAGAGCCGCAGCCTAGACAACCGTCAAGTAAAAGAAATCTGAGTCCAAAGGAGAGTTGGGGGTGGAGAAAGCATATCAGAAGGGACTCTCCTTAGTTTGCGGGAGAGTAAAAATAAGAGAGGGGAGAGGTACTTTTAGACTTGCAAGATTCTGTTACTGTAATCTTACAATAAAAGTAGTGTTAGTACTCATGGCTGGTGCTTTTTGTTTGAACTATCTTGAAGGGCTGACACTATCCCATTCTGTTCTGCAAATAACCTCATAGCATTATAAAATAAAATGAGAAATCAGGAACTTCATATTTATTTTTCAACATACAATTTTGCTCTATTAGCTTAAAAGAAAAAAAAAATCACTTCCAGACCTTATATTCAGAGCCACCATATCACCCTCTTCCTACTCTACTTAATGTTAGCATTTCCTCCAAGATTTCAACTCTCTAATAAAATGACAGAAACAACTGAAATCTGTACCTTGTTTCCCTCAGGTTGGGCATGTACACTCCTGGAAATCTTCACATTCACACACTTAGATTTTTGAGTAACCAACAGGAGATAACAAATTTGCACGCCATAAATATTTTCTGAAAACAGTGTAGAAACACATGCAAATTCAGAATTCAAACAAACAAACTTTGAGGGGAGGGAATTATTACCCATATCCAATAGATTATTGTGAAAGAGAAAAACAAAACTTTATGAATGAACCAGAGAGATAAAAAGCCCTCTGGATCAAATAGCATAATAATTTGGCCTTTCAGAACCTCTAGAGCTGTGTTTCTCAACCTTGTCAACTTTAAGACGTGTGGACTTCCACTCCCAGAATTCCCCAAGCTGGCTGGGGAATTCTGGGAACTGAAGTCCACACATCTTAAAGCTTGAAAAAAAACTTTCAACCTTTTCAACATCTTAAAGGTTGAAAAACACTGCTGTAGACCAATCACAAATGAGCCACTTCACTATTGAAAGTTGTAAGTGCTCCTCAAAGTTCTACCATACAAAATGTGGGAGAAAACAGCAATAGTTGCCGCTTTTTAATTCTACTTTTCATGGAGCAAAAATATATTAGTAGCCAATGTCTATAAATGCCAATCCAGCTTGACCAAATCCATCAAGGTCAAAGTTGATTAGAAATATGATTCTCCTACTTTACCTCTGCTAAAATTTCTGCTAGAAAGGAGTTTTTCATTAAATACCTATATGGAATCACGTTATCTTCATGCAAGCTGGCAATATTTATTTACAGTTGTTTGATACAGGCTGTGCAAAAACTGCTGTGTTTATTTTCTTTGATACAACTAGCTTTCTTGATTTCTCTCCAGTTGCATTCATTTAATTATAAAAGAAGTTTCTTAATGGGAATCTGGGGTTTGGAGGCATACTTAAGTACCCAAGGAATATTCTCCCATGGTACTGAGCTGAAACTCATTCTGTTGAACTTCATATTGCTTCAGTGCTTGCTGGCAATTGTAGCAAATTGCCTTAGTGTATGTTGATTACAGGTAGTTCTTAAATTACAACCATTCAAAATTACGATGGTGCTGAAAAAATGAACTTATGACTGGTCCCCAAAGTTACGGCCATTGCAGCACCCCTGCAGTCATGTGATCACAATCTGGGTGCTCAGCAACCCGTTCGCACTTACGACCAGTTGTCAAGTACCCTGCAATCATGTGATTGCCATTTGCAACCTTCCCTGCCAGTTTCCCACAAGCAAAGTCAATAGGGAAGCTGGCAGGGGAGGTCGCAACTTGCTTGGGTAAGTCTCCCCTGCCCACCCGGCCTTTCTTCGCTCACTCACATGCACTGCACCCTCCTTCCCCCCTTCACTTGCACACATGCACTGTGTCCTCCTTTCCCTTTAGCTCACTCACTTGCATGCACCGCACCCTCCTTCCCACCTTCGCTCACTCGCATGCATCATGCCCCCTTCACACTTGCATCATAACTCGCACTACCAAACCTGAATTGCAAGAATATGGATGATCACTAGATAGCAGCAAAGGATTAGGGGTGTGGGGCATTCTCTTGGGGATGGATAGTGCCAAGAGAATGCTCCACACCCAAGAGCAGCTTGTGTATGCAAGCCCTGGGCACCAGAACAAGTCTGTACCATCAGATGGAGCTGCCAGCTCTTTACCTTCTTTACCTATATTGTGATGGGAGCCCCATCTGAAAGGATTGTCTTGGGGCCCAAAGAATGCCCTGGGTTTCCCCGTCTGTCATCTGCACTGAGTGGCAATAACTCTCCAGGTAATTGGACATCAGTTCTTCCCAGATCTACCTAGGGAACTAGAAGCAGAGTTGGGGTTTTCTGCACATGCTCTTCTACCAAACAAGAGCTCTCAGTTATTACCCAGATTCCCTGTCAAATCTGACTTACCGTCAAGTTGCAGGTTTCCCTTGACACTTAAGTGGAGAGAGCATTGCCTGTGATCTTCACACTGCATTGTAGTCTCAAGCTTCATGTTTTTCAGATTGGCTGGAGAAATGGAGGCAGGTGCAGGACGGCAGAAACTGCTCATAATCCCAGCTGTGAAGATACCAAATATATGTATATATGCGCCTCTGTGTAAAAAACAAACTTGAAATGGCTAAATAATATCTTAAAACATTAAAGAAAAACTCAACAGATGCTCCTATGATAACCCCTCATACACTAATAGGTAGGGTAGGACAGACATTCACTAGTCAAGCAGAGCACTGTAGACCCATAGTTCAGTCACATCTTTTGCTAGTTATATAATCCATCAGAACATACGATACTTTCACACAAAGGAGGATTTTAGACTAATCAAGAGTCTTCCTTGGAGGAAGGGACTGTATGTGCATTGGGCATAATGCCTTGGGCCAATTTAGGTTACAACCAAATATGACAATATTGGGCAAGATGATTTGTACATGCGTCAGCTACAGGCCAATATGGTGGCCAGAGGTCAAGCCTTCTCTGCCAATTCATTTTTTGTATATGCGTGTGTGTGACTTCAAGTCATTCTTGACTCCTGGAGACTGCCTGGACAAGTCCCCGCAGTTTTCTTGGCCACATTTTCAGAAGCGGTTCATCATTGCCTTCTTCCTAGGGCTGAGAGAAAGTAACTGGCCTGAAGACACCCAGATGGCTTCATACCTAAGGGAGAACTAGAACACATGGTCTCTTGGTTTCTAGCCTGGTGCCGTTAACCATTACACCAAACTGACTCTTAGTTAATTAATTAATTAATTAATATATTCTCAAGTCACAAAATATGACTTGGGAATCAAAAATCCACTGGTTAAATGCTTCCCAAAAAACTGATCAACCAGAACAACAAATTTGGGATGTGCAAAAATGGTTTCCCAATATGACTGAATTGTACAGAAGATTTTTTTTAGATATGAAGTTATTGTGGACATCAACACATATTCCCACAGTTCAATTAACCATTCTTCCATAGAGGAGAAGAAGGATCTTTTCCAATAAAAGCATATAAAATACTTGCAGCTATTATCATATACAATGCCAGTTCAGTATATTTTGAAGAAATGTGTGGTTTAATAGAAATGCTTGAGTTGAAATGGAATTACAACTTATAAAATTCATTCTACAATGAATTAATTTCCAGTACTGTTGAGCTTTGCTATATTGCTACCACATTTGAAAGAAAGATCCAATCTGTTGTATAATTTCCAGCATTTGGGAGATCTACAACCAGCATCTATTGCATTTCCAGCATTTGGGGGGAAAGGAGCTGCTCATTTTAGCAGTCATGACTAGAATAATATATTAGTGATAAAACGTCATATACCAATTCTCTCTGACATTCAAAATGAACACAATATTCTTTTTCCATTGAAATTCCCACTGCTTCATCTCTATAACAATATATTTGATTGCTATTCATATTTTGCATCCATTTAATTATACAGCCAAAATAAAAGCTGACACTAGGAGGTGGTTTGTGGTGAAGAGAGATCACCCCCATTCCACCTTGCTTCCCCACCAGCTCATCTGATTTTCAGGTGACAGGCACTGCCACACTGAGGATCACTTCGTTAGAAGAAGAGGACTGCCCAGTGAAGCTAGTGGGACCCCATTCCATTTCATAGGTCAGCACTCTCCGTTTAGCCACCTGATAAAATATGTCTCCTCTCCCAACCCCAGTCCCAACCCATAGTACGAATGGTGATGAGTGGATGTTTTTCCCATCAGTAGGTGATCCCCATTGAGGAGGAAATTAAACTAGGGGAATCCACCAACTGTTTCCTTAACATTAACTATGTACAGACAGCACCACTGGGTGGCCTCATCACTGAGACAAAATAGGGCTCAGCAATTGAAGCAGAGCAGTCTGTGCCAGCATACTTTCCTGCTGACTGAAGGACTGGAGGAATGCGCCTGCAAGTGGCCATGAGCAAAAGTCCTTAGAGAGACAATGAGGAAACTTCTGAAAATAAACTGAAGAGCGAAGGGCATAAAAGCTGAGAGAGAACAACTTACTCTAATAAAATCATAGATAGCCCAGGCTGTGAAGAATTTTTACAAGATTTGATAATTCCTATAATCTTTTTATGTGCTTGTCTTTATTCACTTGATTCCCCAGACTATACTGTGCCTGAATAGTACAGCTTGTATACCATAGGCCACAACAGATGAAGAAAAAGAAGAAAAAGATATCCATCTTCTTGAATATACCAGGCAGAATACTAAGTCTGCTGTATGGTAACAAAACGATTTTAAGTGGTGATACACATGCACACACAATCAAAAATATATCTTATCACACCCCTCAGGAGAGGGGTGGGCCAAATCATTCTAGATTGTATCTGAATTAAATATTTGGCCTATAACAAGAGTTACAGTCAAATGGAGTTGGAACGTCCAACAACATCTAACAGCTTGACCACTGGTGATGGATGTCAGGATGTACAGTTCAGTAATTTTTGGGGCTCGATATATTCTCCATCTCTGGTCTAGAACTTTTACCCCATTCCAAAAATTCTGTTTTAATAGTGGTTTTGATAGCTATTTGTACAATAATTTCCATCCATAAAAGTTGGTGTAGAAAAACAAACCATTGACATATGACAAATGAGTATGCCCATGATTGTTCATTAGCAATACTCATGTAGGTACTGATATTTTCTTTGAGGGACACTGGGTGACAAAATCAAAATTCTTGTGTAGAAGTTTTCTGGTTTAGTTTTCATGGAGGGGTGATAATACATTTTGTAGTTGAGAATCAAGCCTTATTTTTTTAAAAAGTTCCTATGAGACACAAACCTACTATTTAGACCTTCCTTGCAAAAGCTTACATCCTGACGTGATCCAAGACACTTGAGGATGAATGGAAAAGTCCACAAGTTGGAAGGAAATTTCAATTGATGAGCTTTCAGTCTGATTAGTCATTCAAAAGTTTTGCTTTCCTGAACTTAAGAACAATGAAAATGTAATACTTACTAGAAAATTGATGTTTGCAATGAAATCCCTATGGAGGAGAAAATTAAAATATATTAATTTAAATAGTATATCTAAGGAATAAAAGAAGGCAAATAGTACTCATGCATTATTCGTATCAAAATACATATTAGTTCTTAGAGGTCACTTGAATTATGTGGCTGGAGTCCACATAATCTGTCATAAGGTACACAAATGCAAGTCTTCACTTGGTAAAGTAAACTCTATCTCAACACAGAGCTTCTTCACCAGGAATTTAGACTGCTGACCACAGTATGAGAAATTGTGCATTCTGTAGCAACCTGGAAGCAGAAAGATGCCCTCTCAGATTACTTCAGATTGATCTTCTGTCTTGGCATGGTTCAAGAACTGCCTTGAGTCCAGTGATATTATAGTACCTGATAAGGCACTACCTGCAGACTGTTTATGATCCATCACCATAGTTTTTGCTCTGCTCCTACATCCATTATGCACATACATACATACTGTTCATGAAGCAGCCCATGAAATGCTGCCACATTCCTTTCCATACAGTGGCTATTTTACACATACTACTTATCAATACTGGAATATCGAAACTCCAGAAAAGTAGTATGCGGAAAAGCACTAATGACTGTCAGCATAATGAAAATATTTTATTTTGTAAAGAAATACAAGAGTACAGACCCAAATTCCACCAAGTAATCATCTATTTTGCATGTCTACAGGATTTTCCTTCCTTTCCCCATACCAATTTAATTACTTAAGCATCATCAATCTTCCCACATGTTTTTTTGTAACATGTTGTTGATAAAGAGATGTGGCAATTTCAAAAGATTGCACTTAGGTTATGAGCTTTGAATGGGCCCAACAGTAACATTCTCTAATAACAATTTGAACATTTTTCTTCAGAATCACATTTGCTTTCTATGTAACAAAAACAACAATCTCAAAATTATCAATATATTTGAAAGGCATAGCACAGCCACGTCATAGGAAGTAACCCTGCACAATAAGTCCAAATTAGTCCCCAGGGTACCTGCAGGATATGGTCAAAAATATAAAAAAACAGATGGAGTTTTGATTGCACCATCATGCCCACCATCTTGACTTTTCACTACGTTCTGCAGACACCCAATAGTTCCTTTGTTCTATCTGGAACATCTGTTTTCAGATTACATTTACTCTTGCCTTCTCTCAAAATAAATTAATTTTTTAGGCTAAAGCTCATTGACCTGGTTGTCAAAATAGCATTTTTTGTCCTTTATATCTGAGAAACAAATTGTTCATTAACTATCCTTTAACATAGTATGACAATCAATACAATGCATTGTAGGTAAGCTTCTGCTCCTGGTAAATAAGTCACATGAAATGGAAGACAAAATGGTGCCACATGCACTCTTTAAGCCACTACAGTGGCTTAGCATGTTATGCAAATGCAGCCTCAAATAAAAGCATTAGAAACATTTTTCAAATACAAACAAAAACAACCACAGAAAAAAAATTCAGAAAAATAATTATTAAATAATTGAAGAACAGAGTGTACTATGAGTTTGAAAATTCTGGCACATGAAAGTATTTGCAATTCACAAAATGTTCCAAAAAGGGCATTTTTCCCCCCTCAAGCCAAATATTTGTTTGGAAAGAATAATCTCCACATTCAACCTCAATTAAGGATCTCTTAATCTTAAAGTATTGCAACTTTAAATATTGGATGGGTATAGGTGAGTAACTGAGATCCAATCTTAAGAACAGGCTTCAACAAGGAATTACCCAGTATGTGATTATATTGTTAGAAGTTGTGATTCTTCATGAGTCAGAGGGCAAAATAAAAATGAAGTTCAACAAAGGAGAGGCCATATCTTCTTGGGGTGGGGGTGGGGGACAACCTTACTTTCTACTATTATGTAACTATTGGTCTTTCTTTCATATTTTTTCACATCATTCTTCCCCAAGAATGAATGGTCCCTTTCCGATACATCTAATTTCAGTTCCCATCAGTTCCCTTCAGCATGTTGAATGATAAATATTGAAGTTAATCTCACTTGAAGGACACCAGGTTGGGGAAGAATGGCCGACAGAATGAGATGATTTATTGGCTCAGCCGAGATA